CTGTGGCTCGCCGAGACTCTCGGCTCATTGGCTGCAATATTGAGCCCGACCGTCGAGAGCTTGAGCGCGACGGTATTCGCTGCCTTGGAGAGGTCCACGGCAATCATCTCGGCCCCCCCCCCCATCGCTGCAGCGCCAGGTCGTCGACGACCGCCGCGGGCACCGCAGTCTGGGTCAGCGCAACCACGGCGTCGAGCGGCGCGAGCAGCATGATCTTCATGAAGGCGGCGGCAAACGCGTCGCCCACCAGCGCTGTCTGCAGGATGACCAACTCGTCGGAGCAGCAGTTTTCTAGGCTGATGACCCCCGGCAGCCTGCGGAGCGACGCCTGCAGCTCGGCCAGCCAGAGCGGGAAGCCGTGCTGCTTGCAAGCCTCCACTAGGTGCGAGTGCAAGATTTGCTCGGAGACCTTCCAGAGGCCCATGAGGACGGTCGCCGAGGCCTAGCCCTGGTCAGCGTGTGCATCGGCCACCATCTGCGCCCACTCCGCACGAGCCTGCTGCTGCCATGCGTCGCGATCACAGCTCTTGCCCGAGCTCGCCCGCCAGTAGGTCCGGTCGCGGTCCGCCCCCCCATTGCTTCGCGATGGGCCTGCGGAGACTGCCGTGGATGCGAACCGCCTCCCCGAATGGCGCAATGGGGCGCGGCCCTCCGTCGGCCTTCGGGATGAAGGCGAGCTGCGCGATGAAAGGTGGCCAGTCGCAGCCCGCCTCAATGGCCATCGGGAGGTCGACGAGCCCCATCGACGCCCTCGTCGTTGAGCAACCCGAGCTCGCGAGGCCTGAGCGAGTCGAAGGAAGGGCCCGAGGTCTCGCTGAAAGAGGCGATGACCGCCCCGACCTCGTCAACAGTGGGCCTCGGGGGCCTCTCGCCCAGGTCGCCGGGCCGGGAGACGTTGGCCTCCTCCAACTGGTCGCCCGACGGCAAAGGGGCCCCCGCTCCCCAGTGCCCTGGCACTCTTTCACCAGGGCTCTCACAGTTTCTGGGGGCGTCGCAGGCCCCTCCTCGCAGGGGGCAGGCCGCGGCTTCCAGCCCCGGGGTGGTTTGGTTAGGGAGTGGAGGGAACCGTGCCTTTGACGTGGTTCTCGAAGATCCACTCGTTGAAGCCGCCCCTGCTCTTGTCAGCGTCGCGTTTGGAGCCGCAGTGCCCGCCGCGACGCTGGCGACGCGCAGCTGGCCGACGCCCGTGGACCCAGCCGCCCGCGCGAAACCGAGAAGCGCAGCGCATGCTAGGTGCGTTTTTCTGCCGCGCGTCATTGGAGTCACCTGGCTGTTTGTCACGCAGCTTGCCCAGCGCATCCATGGCGCGAGTTCGCCGAAGGGGAAGGTCGATATGGTCGGCGTCCTCCAGCGCGATGGCGACGCTCTGGGGCCGCGAAATCCCCGCCGTCAGCATCATAAGCCTTGGCGAAGAAGGTTTCAGCGCCGCCGCCGTAGTCAGCGCGGGCTTGTTGGCCCTGCCCGCAGAGGTGTCATAGTCGTGTTCGAGCCCGACCGCGTCGAGGATGTTCCCTTCGGCGCTGCAGATCAAGGCCTGCCACTTGCCGCCGAGCGCGATGGCCTCCGCGATGACGCAGCGCGTGTTCTCCCACACGGCGCCGTGATCTTCGCTGCAGCACGCCCGATGCACTGGCCACGGCGGCATCTTCGGGCAGCTCATATTCTGCGTGCGCTCGGCCACCGAGCCAGCATTGAAGCGCAGCTGCGTGGGAGGGCGCAGCGCCAGATCCCAGCCGCGCAGAACTGTCTCCGAGGCTTCGGCGATGACGTTCGACTCGATCAAGCAGTCGACGACACGGCCCGAATGCTTGATGGCCCCGTTGGAGGGCGAGACGACCTGGCCCGAGGTGATGTTGTAGAGGACGCCCGCGCAGGCCAGCTCGCTAGGCCCCATGCTGAGGCCCCCTGCGATCGCGAAGGGCTTCGTGAGCGCGCGGGTTGCGCGCGCGGGCTTGTCGAGGATGCCCAGGTTGAACTCGGACAGGCCTTCGCTAGCCTCGAGGCACAAGTTGGACCGCGCAAGCCCGCCGGGGAAAGGGCCCGCCACGTGCGCGACAGCCGCGCGCCCAGGAACAAACGCTTGGTCTTGCCCGATCTCAAAGACGCCGAGGCCGCCCGTCCTTGGCGCTCGCTGCAGCCACCTTCCATGGCCAGCGTGGCCGACGGAGACGTCGACGCCAGGAGCTGCGAGCGCACGCAACGCTGCGCGCGATGGCATGCCCGCCACCTCGGCGCACCTGCCGGCGGAGAGGTGTGTCTTTTGCGCAGCGTCCGCGCTGATGGTTAGGGCCGCCCACCAACGCTGCGAACTGAGACCTGCCCTCCTGCGGCCCTGGGTTTCTTGGCCGCCCGCAGGGCGCCCAGGGCTTCTCGCGCTCGCCCGTGCTCTTCTTCGTCGCTGCAGCCATGCAGCGCGCCACCAGGATCCTCCGCAGCCATGGGCGCGTCGAGCGCGGCCTCGGGTTTGCCTGCTAGCTCCCCAGCTGGCGCTGAAGCCGCCCCCCGCCTCCGTCTCCTGGGCCTGGGGCTGGCTGTGCTGCCCCAGGTGCCGCTGGCTGACCCGGGGCAGCGGGGGGGTTCGGCCTTCGGCTCGGCTTCCTCGGCGAGCTCGTCGACCGGGTGGAGAGCTGCAGCAGGAGCTCCTGCCCCGAGTCGCCGTCGGTGTTGATTGCCTTGAGCTTGTCCATGGTGGTATCTGGGCCAATGCCTTCCTGGACTCCGTAGAGCGCCGCAGCCTCGCGCTTCGCCTCTGCCATCTCCGCCTCGAGTGCCGCGACTGCCGTCTGCCACTTGCGCAGCGCCCAAAAGTCTTGAAACCTCGATTCTGATCACGCTGAAGACGAGACTTGGCATCGGCCAGCTGCCTAGCCACCGCATCCACTCGCCGCGGCACTGCTTTACCAACCACTCCAGCAGCAGCAGCCGCACGGCGAGCGTTCTCAACCTTGCTTCGGCTTCCTTGGCTGACAGTGAGCTTGGTGTCCTCCCAAGTGGCGTCCTCGAGCGCGGCCCAGCTCTTGATCTGCTCCGCAGAGAGGGTGGTCCCTGAGCCCGTCTTGCCGAACTTGGGATCCCACCCTCCACTGTTGAGAAGCCGTTTTTGCCGCCTTTGTTGTCATAGAAGGTCTTACCATTCTGCCCCCGTTGACGACGAGGGGGTCCGCCAGCCCACTGTCCCCGCACGGGAGGTGATCGATGTTCCAAGGACTGGCGAGGCGCACGAGGCCGAACTCCACCGCAGCCTACTTTCGTACACCTGAGACGGGCAGCGGGGTGAAGGTCTCAACAAACGCAGTGCTACTGAGCTGCCATGGCCGAGACACACTTAGGTTTATAGTTGCTAGCAGGAGAGCCCGCGCGCGCCGTCTGAATCGCTGGAGATTTGCCTGGTTGTGAACAGTCCCCCGGGACAACAACTCGAGCCAAAATGGCTACGGAGGGGCACTGGGGCCTTCGATGGAGTTCCCTATGGGGCCACGAAACGTGTGAGAGTATGCCGGAAAGGGGCCCGAGTCACATGCGGACGCAGGCCTTGGGGCTTTCGGTGGAGCTCCGTATGTGGACACGAAACGTTTGAGGGGTGTACCAGAAGAGATTCGAGTCTCCTTGCGGACGCAACCATTCGGACTTTCGGTGGAGCTCCCTGTAGGGCCACGAAGCGTGTGAGAGGTGTGCCAGACGGGACCCGAGTCACCATGCGGACGCGGCCATTGGGGCATCCGGTGGGGCCCCCTATGGGGTCACGAAGCATGTGAGGGGTTTGCCAGAAGGGACTAGAGTCATCATGCGGACTCAGTCACAGCGGCCTTCGGTGGAGCACACTATGGGGCCACGAGACGTGTGAAGGGCGCGCCGAAATCATGATGATAATGACGATCGCAGTGATGATGGTGGTGGTGGTGTTGTTTGCGGCGGCAAGTGCGAATGGGAGAATGAGGAAGAAACGAAGGAGGGGGAGGAGGAAGAAGGAAGGAGGAGACGCGGGGCGCTGCGAAGTCAAAACGAGGACCAAGCGCATAGGAGGTTTGTGACAAAAGCAGCCCAATGGGACAGATCTAAGGGAGGGATAGGATGTCAGATGAGGCGCGAGCCCACCTAGCTTGTCTCATCTCGTCTCCGTCCCTTCTCCAACTCCCCGCATGCCCTCTCCTCTCCTCCTCTCCCTCTCCCATCTGGCCGTGAATGTCTATGCTCAGAGTCCTGGTTCGCAGTGTCCTGGTTTGAGGGGCCCTGATCCGAGCGGGGGACGGGCCGCCTTCCTGCCTCCGGCCCCCGCCTCCAGGAGCATGGAGAGTGCGAGAGAGAGAGAGAGAGTGCGTCGCAGCACGGTTTCGAGCGAACAAGCGAGCGGGCGTGCCTCGCACCAGACGGCGCGTGAGCAGGGAGAAGGAAGAGGCTGTCTCTTGGCCTCCCAGGTGGGGTCCGAGCAGATGAGGTCGGCGGATCGCGCCGCATCGCCGATGCACCAGCGATGCCGCTCGATGCCGAGCTCGATTTTCTCCACGCCGACGGCGCCGATGCATTGCCGACGTCGCCGATGCATCGCCCATGCGTCGGTGATGCATCGGCAATTCGGCGCGATCCTCTGACCCAATCTACTCTGACCCCATCTGGGAGGCCTCTATTGTCGAAGGATGCCTTCAGCCACTGCTCCAAGCCGTCACAGCCAGCTCCCAGTCACACACTGCACCGCCCTCAGAGCGGAAGTAGTCAGCCAGGCGACCGCGGGAGCAGGCAACTTCCAGACAGTTACGTAAGTCAGGGTTCCACCAGGTCTCTCTCGGGCTTCGACCCGGGTGCAGTTGCCATGCGGCATGGCCCATGCCGTCGATCGCACCGACCTCTGGATGAGATCAGTTCGCGAGTTCGTGTTCGCCATCTCGTTGTTGTCCATGGTGGTGTCTTATGATTCTCCAGCCGCAACGATGATCATCCCCTGGGATGCGCCGATTGTCTCAGCATTCAGCCAGCGTTGCCGATGGTCAGCCCTTCATGCCCAGGTGTACGCGCTGCCGCTTCTGCAGGTGCTGCAAGATGCGAAGCCGGACAGCAGCACCCTTGTAAATCGGGGCAGGGTGTTCCAGGGAGGTTGCACGGATTGGAGCAGTTGAGGCTCCAGGAGTGGGGTTGCAGTTGGGGGGCAATTCACAGTGTCAGCTTTGGGTCGAAGACATGATTTAGAAACCTTCTCCCGAAACATTGGGCGTTTCTTAGCCAACTTGCTGGACGCTGGCCCAGTTTCTTGAGCACGCTCGCTCCCCCAGTGTCAAGAACAGAAATTCTAAACGCTTCGCGTAACCCCAGCAGCGTCCGTAGCCTGGCTCAAGCCGTTTGCGGGCCTGGCTCCCTCGGGCCAGTCTCCCGCGCTCAAGGGGGCGCCCGGACGCCGCGTCGCCCCCCCCGCCCCTGGGCCGCACCGCTCCACTACTCCTCGCTGGTTATTTCCACTGCGCGCCCCGATTGCGGCGACGCTGGCGACGCCCGCGGCCCAGGCGATGCTTGATCCACCAGACGGAGGGGACGAGGATAGAGATTGTGCAGTGCATGGCACGGGAACCCAACCACTGCGATCGATCGATCCACAGAACCCCCACAGGGAGCAGCCCTCACCCACAGGCGCGGCTGTTCCAGTACCGACGCCAGCTACGGTTGCATCTCCGCCCTGCCCAGCAGAGGGAGACATCCAACCAGTGGGGGAAGGAACACTCCCTGGTGTTGCAATCGGCCCAGCTCAGATCCCAAGCCCCCCCACGCCTCCCCCCTCCCCACGTAGGGAGGCGGACAGTGCTCGTGTGACCCGAACGACAGGCCCCACCCTGTCCCCCGAGGCTGGAAATGAGGTCCTGGTAACGGAACTGCGAGACGGCAGTGGAGGGTTTGCCTAACAGCCGAATCCATAGAAGGAGGCAACGTAGTCCCCCCGCCAAGTGTACAGGCGAACAGATCCCCCCCAGCGGTGATTGAAGATCCTCCGCAGGGAGCGGCGGAGAGATCAATCAGAGGTGACTCAGACCGCTCAGCACAGACACACAGGGCCGACCCTTCCTCCTCCTCCTCCTCCAATTCACCAGATTGTGCGGCTATCGGCTGCGTCTCCTCCTCCTCCTCCTTCAACACAGGATGTACGTCCAACTGTGCATCGACACGCCCCCCATCCTGTTGTAGGTTCCCCGGTTGCTGCGGCTCGTGGCAGTGCCCCCATACCGAGTGTAATGCCGAGGAACGATACGGACAGTGATAGAAGGCCAGAAGACCCCCCAGACAGGCTCCGAGGAGCGACGTTGGCAGCAGTGGATTGCCAAGGAGAAATACGGGCAGCGATGGGCACCGACGAAGTGACCCCGCAGACGCGGGGCCTTCCAGCCCCCGCGGAGGTGGCACGTGCCACCCACGGCGACACACAAGATGCACCGCCCAACAGCCCGCTGGATCTGTCCAGCGTCGACGGAATCGAGCCCCCACCTGATGCCCCCCCCTCCCCTCCCCATGTTCCGCCCATTGCTTCCCCGACTCCACTGCCCAGGGCAGGCCTGGCCGAGGACGTCGAGATTTCTCCCACGTTGCCATTCGATCCGATCGGAATAGGCGTGGACAGCGAGCAGCAGCAATGGGGCCCGGTTGGGATCGGCGTGGACGGCGAGCGCGGGGATGAGGCCGGATGGGAGTGGCTTCCGAGAGAACGCGAACTCGGAGGCAGCACCCCCGACAGCGAAGCGCCACGCGAGTGGGAGGGCGCCGACGAGATCAGCATCGGATCAGCCGCTCACGATCGAAGCAGCCCGATCGCCCCTCCCCCCGGTCTCTCTCCTGCTCCTCCGCCCGGCTCAAGGTTGCTCAACTCGGAAGAACGGGTGGTTGGGCCTGGGCACGGAGGGGGCGCACCCCACCGCAGGCTTCCGCCACCATCTAGGCGTGGTGGATCCCGCGACGCCGATGCCCCTCTCTTAGCCCTGACAGTCGTCGACTCTAGGTGCACCATGAGAGGCGGCCCACTGACGGCTCTCCTGGAACACCATGAACCTAGGGAGGGGCCGTGGAGAAATATCCCCAGGTGCCCATCCCGCAACCGAACGATGTGCGTGGGCCTTGAGAACCAAGTAAGCTTCTGCCGGCTCCGTCATCCCCCATGGCACGCGGCCGTCAGTGGAGGCCTCTCCACAGCAGGAAGCGTCGAATGCCCACTCAGGGTAAGCCCCAGCCACACTGTGCAAGCGAAGCAGGAAACCCCAAGAAGCTACCACAACCGCGCCTCGGCAATGGCCGAGCTGGACCTCTCCTGGCTGGTCTGGTCAATCACAGGATCCGACCACGAGGCCAGGCTCGGTGGGGTAGGCCCGGATCCGGTACAGGTGCTAGCATTCCGCTGCGCAAACCTGTCACAGGACCCTGATATTGAAGCAGAGAGCCTAGACTACGACGAACCAACTCAGGAGGAAATCATAGCGGCCGAGAGTGAGTACGACATACTGCGCCATGCTGCCCTCTACGCAGACATAGGAGTGGGGGACCCAGCGGAGGGCCTCTTCCCGCCGCCCCTCCTCGGACTATCCAGATGGCGACACGACGCCGACCCAGATGCAGCTGGCGCGAGCCCGGCTGGTACGGCCTCAGAGCATAAGTCCAGACAGTGCCGATATCAGATCCGCGATCACCGCCGCAACACGGTGCATTTTCCGGACCACTATGAAGTCAGACATTGGGCAGCCAGTAGGGGGCACTGGGCCGACGCTGGCGCGGACGTCCTATCCTCGGCGCAGCGCGGCACGGGGCAGGACGGCCAGGCCGCCCCCGCCGCCCCCGGCGCAGGGCCGCACACTCCTTGCATAGGCGGGCCCATACGCGAGGACCGCAGCAATCCAGGAGGACCCTGGCCCATAAACAGCACATCCTACATGATAAGGTTCGGGGACTTCCTCCGCGCCAGATGCGAATGCTGCGGCTGCTGGCTTACGCGGGATCAAGGCGGTCCCAGTTGCATTGTACGCCGTAGGCTAGCCGCCCCATGGGTGACTACCATGGAGGGACTCCACCCAGACAACCTTGAAGCCCCCGGACATCCTCTGGACCTACTAGGTGCACATCTCACCTTCCAACTGGCCAGAGTGAGGGCTCGATGCGCCCCCATCGCCAGCCACGTCGGCCCCCCCCCCCCCCATCCCCCACCGGGGACCACCAGCTACTCCCCATCATGGCTGATTGCAGAACTACTCGCGGCATGGAGCCACAGGACTGGAATGGCACTGGACAACGGAAGAACCGCAGGCAGAGGGGCATGCCCGATTTCCGTGGTTGACGCAAGAGTGGGAGACGAGCCGGCATTGAGAGCTACCGTGGGAGCCCTCGCCAGACTCTGCGGCGCCCCGCTGGGATGGGTCATGGAGACAGTGACGCGCATTCAAAATATCATCAGGGAACACCCTCTCGGCAGATTGCTACGCGACTGGGTCCCTGAATGCCTTGCTCAAGTCCCCACCGTGGCCCCGCCAACTCAACCCCCGGCCCCAGCAAACGCCGCGCCCAGAGCACAGGACTTGAGAGCAAGGTACCGGCAGTGTCTTGAAGGCCTCCCTGCGGAGGACACGGCACGGCTCCGCCGAGAAATAGGAGGCGCATTCTTGGACCAAGCCCCCATCTTCACCCCCGCGGGCAGGGTCTCCCTCGAGACCCCGGGCGCAAGCGCCGAGGCGACAGCAGTGGCTTGCGCGGCCATGATAGCGGCGGCCAGAAGGGGTAGAAGAATCATTGCTCACCGCGCAGCGCCAGGCTGCCCTTGCGGGGAAGCGACGCGCCTCGCAATCGCACTGCGCACGAGGGCGCGGGGGATGGGCGCCCCGGTGACCCGCGGGAACGACCAGCGGGACACGAGGAGAGAATAGAGCGAGACTCAGGCGACCGACAGACACAGGCAGAGCACGCGTGCTCAGCTCCCCCCGGAAAGCGAGGGCAACGCACGACGTGCGCCCCAGGAGATCCTCGAGATCCGCGCCCAGGTGGCGAGCGACAGCATCCCCACCAACATGACCTGGGGCAGGCTCCTGGCCCCGTTCATCTGGGGCTCAACGTCAGAAAGCGGAAGAGCCACGCTAGAACACGTCTTCGAGGCCACGGGGGTCCCACGCTCCTTGGTTGCGCGCGCGGCCTCGCGATGGCACCAGCTGGGCGTCACCTCGCTAGAAGTGGCGCACCGCCGCCTCGGACTGAGAGCAGCTACCCTATCCCGACAGACAGGAAGAGCAATCGCTGCTCTCCTCCCGTGGGAATACATCGACCCTGATCTCCAGGAAAGCACCATGAGTTGGCTCGACCCACTCGGTCAGCTCCAGGAGGCAATCCTAACAGCCGACAGGGGTGCTGTGGAACGCTGGATGCGTGCGCGAAGCACCAGGGTCAATGCCGGGAGCGGCAATGCGGGGACCGGTGCAGCAGGAGGTCGGCCACCCACTTCCCCTTCCGGAGTAAGAGTGCAGAACACCACCGCGCCATGGCATGAAGGCGTCAGGCAGATCCTAGGCGAGGATGCGAACAGCAACCCCAGATCGCCCCCGCAGGCACTCAACGAAGGAGACACGCTGAACGCCCTCATCCGGGCACTAGATGCGACGCAAAGAGACGACGAGGCCTCAGGCAGGCCCAGACAGCAGTGCATAGATCGCGCCTCCGTCAGCGGCGCCGAAGCCCAGGTGGCGGCAGAGGGGCTGCTCAGAGAAGCCAGGGCCCAACTTGAGCCAGGGCGCTGGATATCAAGGGCCATATGGCTCTGCTTGGCGCCGCACTACACCCCCCTCCTACGACCTGTGCTGCAGGTGCGAGGCATGGACATCAGACCGTTCGAGGCCCTTACCAGGTGGTTGCAGATAGCAGACATACACACCCCCGAAGACATCAGAGGCAGACTGAGCGAAGGGAGGGAGCAGCCCCCAGGTGCTTACGCCCCTTTCGGGAACAGACAGATACGCCTCCTTCTCCGCACCACTGGTCTCAAGGCATGTCTAACCGAGGAGGATGCATCCACAACCACGCGACTCCTCATAGAAGGCCTAGGCGC